CAGCCCCTGCACTCCAGTCTGGGTGACAGAGTGAGACTGCAACTCAAAAAAAAAAAAAATCAAATTCTTAAAGGGGAGTTCGTGAAAAACTAAGCACTACCATTTATTGAGCACTTACTCTACACCAGTAAGCTAAGCATACTACATAAATTATGTCATTTAGCTCTTGCCAGAATCCCATGAGGTCTGCATTTTTATCCCAGTGTTTTCAGAGGACCAAACAGAACCTTAGAGTAAGTGACAGAATTTTAGGTTAAGTGATATGTTCAAGACCACAAAGACACAAGATTTAAATTCACAGCTATCTGACTTCAGTTCCTGTCTTACCATGATTCCATATCTTTTCCATGGGAAAATGTTAGTAAGATTTGTTTATTTTTAGAGACACGGTCTCACTGTGCTATCCAGGCTGGTCTCCAACTCCTAGGCTCAAGAAATCTGCCTGCCTTGGCCTCCAAAAGTGTTGGGATTACAGGTATGAGCCACCGCACCAGGCTGAGCTATGTATTAATAGTGAAAAAGGCTGGGTGCGGTGGCTCACGCCTGTAATCCCAGCACATTGGGAGGCTGAAGCGAGAGGATTGTCTGAGCCCGTGGGTTCGAGACCAGCTTGGGAAACTTGTTGAGACCTCATCTCTACAATAAATCCAAAAAATTATCTGGGTGTGATGGTGCCCGCCTGTGATTCCGGCTACTTTGAAGGCTGAGGAAGAAGAATCACTGGAGCCCAGCTGGTCGAGGCTGCGGTGGCTGGGAGTGGCCATTGCACTCCAGCCTGGGTGACAGAGTGAGACTCCAACTCAAAAAAAAAAAAAAAAGTGGGAGGAAAAAAAAAGCAAGACAGAGATACATTCCCAGAATGTCTATTTTTGTTATCTGGATAGAAAAATGACTGGAAGGAAATGTCCTCCAAAGTTTCCTAGATTATCTTCAGGTGATGGAATGTGGGGTGATAGCTTTTATACGTTGATATCTTTTCTGAGGTTTTTACAGACATATCCAAGTTTCACAAAATACCCAAGGTGGCTACTTGGCGAGGCAGCCAGGGGGTCCACGGTTCCGGAGGGAGATCAGACCCGCCCCGTAAGGGAAGGTGGGTCAGTCGGGAGTGGCGGCGCCAGGGCCCCGCCCACCCGCACCCTGTGTCCCGGCACCTGCACAGCGAGTCGGAGAAGCAGAGGCGCCGCATCTCCAGGCAGTTGGGGGCTACCGGCGGCAGCGCGCAGCCGGGGGCGATGGTGTTGCGCCGGCGCTCCCCGCAGCCGCGGTCGGTGGGCGCGCATGGGCACAGCAGCAGGCCCTGTGCGTGGGGCTCCGCCGCCTTCTCGAAGAACGTGATCAGCTGCTCGAGGCAGACGTGGCGCTGGCAGCGGGGCCCCGAGCATGCCTCCGCGTAGGCCTTGCGCAGCCGGTCACACTTGTCGTTCAGAGTGCACAGCATGGCGAACTTGAGGCAAAGGTCCGAGTCTGGGGGGAAAGAGCCCCGGGTCACCAGGCGTGCAGCCCAGGCTTCCTAGGGCCCCCCGGAAGAGCCCTGACTGAGGTGACAAGGAGGAGAGGGAAGGGAGGAGGAAAAGGAGGGCTTTCCTGAGTAAAGCCATTCCTAATCTAAGTCTTTCACTCTACTCCCAAACTCGATCCGGTCTTCTGAAGTCTTCCCCATCCTACTCCTCATCTTGACTAGGTAAAATAAGAATCATTGTCATCATCTATATACATCTAACATTTATCTAGAATTTAAGCAGTCAGAAAGCACAAATGACCATAACCCTTTCCTCAGTGCTCTGCAGTGAGGTCTGATGGTGGAAATCATAACCTAGAGGCCCTGTAGCACTCTAAAGCACTTTCGGACCCGTCCAAAACAGATGCAACCAAATTCCATTTAGGTTTCCAGTTTGGTGTGTGTACCTGTCTGTTATGCTCAGTTGTCATGCCACCTGCCTATCTCTCATTTACTGATTCATGTATATGCTGTTCCCTATACTCTGAGTCTTGGGAAATTATGGGGACATTTCTATTAACAGAATATTCCAGCAGTCAGAACATTTGAGTAATTAGAATAGATGATTCACCGATTCCCTTGTAACTGAAAATTCATCACGTATAATCTCTATGCCTTTCCTCAAAATTCTAACACATTGGCTAGGCATGGTGGCTCACGCCTGTAACTCCAGCACTTTGGGAGGCCAAGGTGGAAGGACTGCTTGAGTCTAGGAGTTCAAGACTAGCCTAGGTAACATAAGGAGACCCTGTCTCTATTTTTTAAAAAAAATCCAACACATAGAACTGACTATACAGCAAAGTTCACATCTTTCTGAAAAAGAGACTGCATATGTATATGTTCTTTCTCAAAAAACTCACAACTAGGCTGAGGCAGAAGGATCGCCGGAGCCCAGCAGGTCGAGGCTACGGTGGCCAGGAGCAGCCACT